TTTCCAAAATATGTTTCATATTGTGTTGTCAGGTAAACAAACATTTGACCTAAGGGTATTAAATCTAGAACTTTTTTCATCAATTTTGTTTTGAAAAAATAATCATAGAAAACTATTTAATCTCATTACAACAGGAATTTATTATAATCTTAATATTTTATAATCCTTTCAATTAACAGTAGACACATCTTGATTACTTTCTAATTAAATCATTTCACTCAAATACTTTGTAATTACTGTAAGTTATTAAAATTAGAAAACATTTGCAAGCTCAACACTTTTGATTATTAAGTCTACCATACAATACAGCCAAATATTGTATGTAGACATCTGGTAAAATATATACTTAATGTTATATGCTTATTAAAATAAAAACACATGGGAAATGCACATAGACCAGCATGATATATATTGTGAAATACAGATTAACTGTTCATGGATTTATGATTATTACAAGCAACCCTAGCAAACTTAGAAGTTATAAGCAACTTGTAAATTTAAACCCAAACCATGCTTAAACTACACAATATATTCATAAACAAAGTTTGTTTTATAAATTTAATCTTAAAGGATAAAGATCACTTCTCTGGAAATTACACAATTAAATAAAGCATTTAAAATCACCTATAGCTTGTGTTAAAAATATTTTTTGAGATACTTGTTTTCGTTTAACCCCTTAAGGACACATGACATGTGAGACATGTCATGATTCCCTTTTATTCCAGAAGTTTGGTCCTTAAGGGGTTACATTTATTTTAAAACTTTAAGAAATTCAGTCCAGTCAAGGCAAACTTTGCATATCAAGAAGAGAAAGGTAATGTCACGGTTTTCACCGCAACATCCAGACGGCCAAACGAGGTCCCCCCAGAAATGCCTGGTGACGGTCTTGCAATCGTGGACCTGCTTTTTTGCCTCTGAGCCACTATACAGCTCTAGGATTGCCTGAAGTATAATCTTGCCTTGTACCCAGCACTGGGGGCTGGACGTTATTCTGTGGCTGCTCCAACAATCTCAGCATACCTGTGGCTGATCACCAATTATCCAGGTATAAGACACTGCCTCTCCCTGAGGGCAGTGTCAGTTCATTGACTCTGGTTCCCTTGTTTGGTTCCTGTCATGCCATATCAGCGTTCCAGTATTTCCTGTCTGATTCCGGCTTCTGACCTTGGCTTTCCTCCTGGACTACTCTGATCTCTGGCTTCCCCTGACTTTGGCTTTCCTTGACTACGCTTCTGCTAATCCCTGCTGTACTGCTACTTGGAGCACTATTCCTGGAAAGCCCCCGTGCACAGACTCACAGATCAGGTGGCGTCTTACCTGGTCAGTGTCTACTTTGTAAGGGTGAGCGTAAAACTCTGCGAGCCGGACTCCCCATCAGGTAAGAAACCTGACAGGTAAGCATTGTTCAATTTCTCATGTTCCCTTTAAGCTTTCTCAATGCTGGCTGCCAGGTACAAAGGACAGAGCGTTTAACAATGACTGACATGTAGGCACCCATTTACTGTTTAAAGAGGTTTTCAACACTTCACAAATACATATTTGTTAAGTAGAGAGGTATGTAAACATGATATTAAAAATCCAGGGAAGTGACAATTCCCTTTTAACTAATGATTTAATCATGTAGGTATTATCTAATCTAATTAATATAGCTGTGTCAGTGCTCAAATCTGGTGAAACCAGATTTTCTACCTGCAGAGGGAGATCTGAGGCAATGCCTTAGAAGGGCAAATCTACTTTCATGTGCACTACCACTATATTACCATGTCTACACAGACTAGAAGCTACTTGGGGTTCAATACCAGTACACCATCTAAATATGCGGAGGACAATTAGGTGAAACCAACAATAACCTACATGAAAACCCTTATGGTTTTTACATAGTTTCCCTGGAGAGACTGGCTTGGGCTCTGAGTCTCTGAGTCCATGGAAACAAGATGTTGGCTCTTAGACAAGCCTGGGGCTGGAGTGGTACTTCACCTTGGCTCCATTGTGATGACCTCTTAAGCAGACAATGCAAGATCACAGAAATATTGCAAAGCCTGGGAATTGGTTGAATGTCACTTCTCAAATTCCTGGTAACCTATTTTCTAGGTCCTGAGTTAATGAGTTAGTCTTTACTATAATAGCATCTGAATTTTATGTAACTAGTCCCAGTGGTTTAAGAGTGTCCCTTATCCTAAAGGTTGCATGTTTATTATATTATTTTAAATACAATCTTGTAATTTTGCAACTATGCATGATATCTTTGCACTTTACACTTTTGCACTTTACATGTTTTACCACACTTGGTTAAATATGTGAGTGAGGAAAATAACCTCATCACTGGCTTTTGGAGGGGCCTGTTTGCCAGCCTCCTACCCTGTGACAAACTGAACCTCGTCAAGGGTTCTTGGAGGGACCTGCTGGCCAGCCTATTGCCTCAGGACTATGGACCCTGCAATATACATTGCCCAATGCACTTTAAAAGGCTCTGTTAATGTGAAGTATGTACTTTTGCACTCCAGACAGAGAGACCAACCGTTAGCCCTAATTCTCTGGAACTGTTTTGGGCATGGGACCATGTGCATGGTGGGTCAAAAACAAGACTTCCAGTAATTTCCCGAACCCCTCCTCTGATCTGGGTGATTTTTGGATATGTTGTTCACCCAGATCAGGGCTATCAGGGGATGTAAGGTTTATGGAGATATGTAGTTCTGGGGTACTCTTGGGGTTTTGTTTAATATGTGTTTTTTAAGCTTGGGGATAATTACATTAATACAGTATCTACCTTAATTGTATCACAGGCAGAGGGGAGGGATTGTGTGCTGTATGTGGGAGTGTCAAGTATTGTTACATTGTTTCTCTTGATTTGTGCAATTTGTGTCCTGTGCCCCATCAGGTCCAGTGGGTGTTCCTCTGGCCTGCAAAGTTGTATAAAAATGCAACCAGTACCATTAAACTCTAAGATCATCTTGCACCTTCATGAAGTCTTGGCTCGTGTTTGGGGGATTGGAGAACTACACTCTGGGGATTGCTATAATCACTATACTCCCCTGAGTATAATCACTAAGCTCTTGTAAGAGCTGTTCCTGCTTGACTCTCTGGAGCAAGAGAGGTTCCCCCACTGGTATCTGGAGCCTTGACTTCGAGACCTCAACCAAGCTGCTGCGGTTCGTGGGGTTTGCACTGGTTATGGAGGTACCTGGTCAGGGTGCAGGCGGTCTGTCACAATGTGCAGTTACTTCGAGTTGTGTATATATTCATTGAGTGGTGATTCCTCTCTACCTGATGTTATTCTCCTATTTATGTCTGTATTACTGCACAACAATAATATAAATAATACAACCTTTTTAAATTTAAAAAACTAAAGTGATTCAAAAATAAAATTAACAGTATCTTAAATGTGATAAATGCAGGTGCACAATTACTGATAAAACTTTGGAATTTTTCTTATCTAGTTAGAGATCACTGTAAGACCAATTCTATATAAAATAATGTTAGTTTTTTCAATATTTATCTATATTTATATGTAATTAACCCATTCTTGCCAAAGTTTTTATTTTTTTTTATTTTAAAAAAATCATTCAAATAAAAAAAATCTGTACATTCAACTTTGAAAGTTTTGATCTGAAAGCCAGAGAATAATATTTATGTATTTCACACAAAAAAAGATACTTTATTTTTGATTGGTACATTGTTCTCCCATTGAAGTGTAATACAGAATAAATAATAAATGAAGAAACACTGGGATGTGATATTTTTGGCCAAATGTCAAGTGCATTCTTTTGTTTTTCTTAAACTCTGTACACATTGCTTCTCACACATTTGTTACTTTTCTTGGACATTTAAGTTCACAGCCAACTGTACCGTGATCTTTACTCATCACTAAAAATATCCTTCAAAATCAGAAAATAGGTAATTCCATATATATTTCAAAAGAACTGTCCAGTCACTATTTCAAAAGAAATAATTATGCAAAAGTGTACAAAAATGTCATAAAATCCATGCTATCACTGCTCATTAGAACTTCAACAAGCTAGAAAAGTATTCTGTGCCACAAAGAAGAACATTAGTTGTGGTTCGGTTCAAAAACAACAATTTAAAAGTGCAGTGATTAAAGGGACACACTAAGATTTCCTTTAATAGATTCAATCACTGAACCCTTAATGTCATGAGGAATCAGAACATTATGTCTGGAAACATTCTTGAGAGATCAATGTACATTAAATAAAAACATATCTTCAAAATGTGAAGGGAAACAAGCTTATGCAAAACTGTGATTCTTAAGCTCTCAAGTGACATTAAATTTATAGCTAATTTATTAATTGGGAAATTGCAAATTGTTATCTAAGTGGTTTCCATTACAGCTTCCAGCTTTGTTGATAAATTCACATGCATGTACATTATAACAAACAACAAAACTTCAAACTACAAACATTAACACTTAATTGGAACTTAGCTGCTTTAAACTTCCATATTTAAACCATTGAATGCCATGTGCTTAATTAATGTCTTACCTCTGAGGGAATATCAATCTTATTGGTGTTCACTATTAGTGAAATTTTATGATTTTGCTAAGGTTTAGGATGATTAGCTATGACAAACACAAGTAGGTTTTGAGGTAAAAACACATTTTATTTATTTGATTAAAACAAAAGTAGGGTTACCACCTGTTTAGACTACCATTTAATCCACTCTTTGACTTCATTTTATTCTTTATTCTAATAATAATAATAGAAAAAGAACCATGTGGTATTTGAAAAACCCACAACACTACCAAGCCTGACCACCACATGATCAGTCAATCGTTTTTACCAATTTTCTACATTTAAAACACAATCACTAAGCTTAAACATGTTCTTCTTGTCATCTCCAATTTAAATTTAAATGGCATGACCTAATATTACGTATCAGTGAGAATAAAGGTAACCCTGTATACAATAAAAGAAAAATTAAGGGAGGGTGTGTCAGGTTTCTTTGAAAGGAAATGCGGGTAACCCCTGGTTTTAATATTAAAGCACAAAAAGAAGCTGAAAGAAACTGAGAAAAAAGGGGGTTAATAAAAAACCCTTATTGAAAAAAAATCCACTAAATAGCTTTTTTCAATACAAGTTTTTGATCAAGCCCATTTTTTCTCAGTTTCTTTCAGCTTCTTTTTGTGCTTTAACAATAAAAGTAGAAAATCTAAATTGTCTTCCTTTTTTCACTCTGTCTAAACCTCGTCAACACTCTTGAAACATATGTTCTTTAATTTTATGTTATTAGGGTACTGTGCTTATGAATAGAACCCCCACATATTCCTTTGCTTCTCACACATTGACAATGATTATTACTTTGATTAGAGCATCAAATGACACAGGTCAAAACTGGAGAAATCTCAGCAGGACCTTTCTGAAAAAAATATTTTTAATTGCCCATTTTTTACTTTGTTGTCTGACCTTTTAACATTTACTTACTCATAGTCTCAGTTTCTAGTCTCTTCCAGACTTACAGTTTTAAGAGGAACAATTATATCCATTTCAAATACCAATATATAAACATAGAAATATAAAAGCACAACACCCAAATACCTAACACACTAGACACAAGAATAGTAAGAAAGACCACAAAAAGGGACATGGTAAGGGTGTACAATAAATGACTAACTATATTTACCCAGTGGCACAGGTAAGATTATATTCAAAACTTCCTTTTAATATGAACATGTTAAAAAGAACAGATAAAAATAGTGTAATAAAAGAGTGTACATTGTGCCTTAGGAAAAATCAAACAGAAAATGACAAATACTAACAGAAAAGCACAAAAATGCATTATGGCTCCATCTGGTATGCTGGCACAGGATGTACACATTATTTATTATATGGTGCAGTTTCTAACAGCATTTCGATCTTCCCAAGATTCTTCCTCCAAGATCGCAAACTCTACGTGTGATAATGATTCTTCTTCACACTTGTTTTTGGATAACTTTGGACATATCTTGGTACCAGTCTCAACAATGATACGTCCTCAGGGAAAATGCACTCTGATTCTTGTCTTTCAAGCAGAGACAAGTCCATACCTTTATGACTTGTTCTTCTAGGAAAATATCCCACACTTGTAGAACTATTCAGGTTAATTACTGTAAAAATTCTGTGCATTGATTAAATTTGTATACTTGAGTGAATAAAGCTTTTTCATATACCTGTTTGCGCATGACAGAGTACCTTTAATAGTCATTGCAATCATGAATGCTAACTTCTAATCATATATAAGCTATGTGTTACATAGCCATGCTTAACTTTGAAAAATGCAATACATACATTTTGAACTGGTGTGTTGTTTTTATGGTGGAAACGTATTTTTTTAGAAAATGATCAAATTGGAGGTTAATAATACATATTTATTCACTTTTAGTGAATTAAATAGGTTATTTTCTCTGACCGTATCCTGGTCATTTGCACTAAATTTCGCCTGTTTCTCATTGAACAGCAAGTTGAAATATTCATTTAGCAAACTTAATGCTGGAAACAAAGGAATCCTTAGAATTAAGTTGGACTTGCATAGCTTGTCAAGTGTGGAAATGGTGTTACTAATCCAGTTTGACAGCCATATTGAATGCCACAGATCTAATCCACTGTTCAGTCTTAACAAATGATATATTTCTCACAACTTGACGAATTGAATTATACAGCCACTTTAGCATTGTTTTAACCAATGCTGTTTTCAGAGTGAGAGACAATTATAAAACTCCCTAAGCTAATGTTCTTTTTCATTGAGTATTAACGTATGGGGAAGGGGGTTAGTGACAAAGTCCACTTAACCTAAAGTTATAAAAAGAACATTTCAAACTGTATTTAAATTCCCCTTTTTTTTAAAAAAGGCACCTCCAAAGTAGTGTTTTTTTATCTTTTTACATTTTTTTAATTAATTTTTTTGTATTGATCATGCGTTCATTCATACAGCACTGACCATTTTAAAATTAAGGGAGCAATATCAAAACATTGGTCCATACTAGGGGAGGATAGAATTTTAGGACCCTTTCTTCCTGACCACCCTCCAATAATATAAAAAAAAAAAAAATACTTTAGCCCCTAGTTCCAGCATAACAAATACCAGAAAGAACCATAAGGAAATAAAGGTGTGGGCTTTAGAGGTTGTTCGGCCTGTAAGGCGTGCAAAACTACAGGGAATAGAACAGAAATCCAAAAAGATTTTGTTAGAACAGTAACCAGGAAGAAATATCTTATTGAGGACACCATTGGTTGCCTGCCACAGGGACTATACAGTTTATTTGCTGCGATGCCCATGTGGCAAACAATATGTTGGCAAAACTAAAATGAAGCTCAAAATAAGAATATTATTTTTATTATTTTTTATTTATATTTATTTATATTATTATTATTATCATTCCATATTGTTATCATTATTTATTTCACTTTATTTAAAATTTTTAAATTTTTATATATATATTATTTTTTATTTATTTATTTTTCATTCTTTCATTTCCATTTTTTTTTTCTACTGGTTTTTGTTAGAACAGATGGATCCATGTACAACGGTGAAGTACTTCCATACTCAGATTGATGTATGAATTTGATCAGCAGGAAGTGAGATACTTGGTTACTTTCCCTAATGGAGGTAAATTATATATATATATACCTCTTCTTTTTTATTTGTGTTTTGTAAATAGGATTTGGTAATTTATTTTCATTTTAAGTGCCTTAGTACATATACAAAAGTGCAGACTTAGTATTCAAGATAGTTGGAATGTTACCATACAAATTCTCCATATGGGGATGAACATTAACAGGTGTCTCACCTTTTTAGTTTTTATTTAACATGGTAAAGTTCTTTTTTTTTTTTTTTATCTTCTATTTTCATCATGCTTTTTGAGCCCAAGAGGCTTCCATTAGTAACACTATGTTAATGAGATACAGATGAAACTTATGATGGCCATGCAATGGAACGCACATGTCATCAGAAGATGACAACCAGAACTGGCACACCGGAAGTGACACACTCAAAGTGCCGAAAACCAGACGTGACGTCATCAAATTGGTGCAAACCGGGAAATTCAATCATACACAGCTGGAACAACCAGACAAAGCTCATTGGACCACCAATGAGAAGAAAAGAGAGACTCAGGGGGAGGGATTACACTGCTTGTTTGATTTTTTTTTTTTAATTTTATTTTATTTTATTTGCTGCCATCATTACATTCTGGTTGGTTAAAATACCAGGAGGTCCTTATAGGACAAAACGCGTAGTTCCAAAGAACTTTCCCACGCTGTGTAAAATTACACAGAGCACTCTTATTGGTGGATTAAGTAACCAATCAGAGTGTTATGAGTCAAATTACACAGTGTGGGACAATTCCAAAGAACATTCCCATGCTGTGTAAAATGACACAGAGCACTCTGGTGGATTTCAAGCTAACCAATCAGAGTGCTGTGACAAGTAAATGTAGAGACTTACCTGTCAGTCTCTTTATTTACCTGTCAGAGCACTCTGATTGGATGGCTTAAACCCACCAATCAGAGTACTTTGAGCCTTTATAAGCCTTCAGTCTGCGCGGAGCCCTCCATGGGTGAAGGATTTTTTTTTTTGCGCTTTTTTTTTGTTGTGTTTTTTTTTTTTCTTTTAAAGTGCGTCGGTTATTCTGGATGTTTATTTGGCCTTTTTTGGGGCTCAAAAAAGAAGATTTTAGAAGAAAGAAGACATCAAATGGTAAGTATTTTTTTTATTTTTTTTACAGGTATTTAGACAAAGGTCCCCCCTCATTATTTTTAGGATGAGAGGGGTAGGTAGGGGTAATTTTTTGTGGGAGGAGGGGGTAACTAGGGGGTATTTTGGACCCCCAGTCACCTGAGGGGGGGGATTTTAATTGGTCAATTTTTATCACTTGATATGTAAACCACATGGCAGGAAAATTATAATGTAAATTTTCTGCTCAGCCCCAATAATAAAACCACCTGCCTAATATAATGTAAGTCTCTAGAAGAGGCCTCTGCCATTATGATACACTATTGAAGAGGTGTAAGTGGTGTGCAATAACCTCTAGGGTGGGGTAACATCTTCATGAATGCCAGGACCAAAGGTTTCCCAGCACAACAAACAATAACACTTCATTCCTTCTTCCCTTATTGCATCCTGTTGCCATCTCTTCCCCAGGTAAACAAAGCACCATCCACATGATTTAAAAGATAACCTGATTCATCAGACCAGGCAACCTTCCTCCACTACTCTAGTTTTGATGATCACTTTCTCATTGAAGGCAATTTTGGTGGTGGAAAGGGATCCATAGGCACTCTGACCAGTCTGTGGCTACGCAATCCTATACACAGCAAATGGCAATGAACTGTGTGTTCTGACACCTTTCCACTATTACATATTTCAGCAATTTGAAGGACATTAGCACTTCTGTGTGATCGGACCTTCACTTTCTATGTGCATCAATGAGCCTTGGGCGCCCAGGACTCTGATGCCGGTTTACCAGTTGTCCTTCCTTTCACCACTTTTGATAGGTACTAACCACTGTGCTGGGAAGATCCAAGACTTGCTATTTTGGAGATGCACTGACCCAGTCATCTAGCCATCACTAAGTGGGCCTTGCCAAAGTAACTCAAATTGTTTTGCTTGCTTATTATTCCTGCTTTTATCAAATGAAATTCAAGAACTGACTATTCACTTCACTTGTTAGTGATTTTAATGTTTAATATTTTGCAGTACCTTTTGGTCCATCTGATTTTGTTTCCCTGAATCATTAATGAAATGAACATCGATTTAGTCGAAATTTGGCTATCTCCCCCAAGTTTTTTTGCAATTTTTTTTACAGAGCTAAACTATGTATATATTGATTTTACATAACTATCTGCTGTACTTTAATTTTTACTTGCTCTTCATTATTGTCAGTAAACATTAATACAAAGAGAAAATATATTTGCTGCATAAATATACCCAGTTGCTTTAGTATACACAGTAAGAAAACACATATAAAACATAGCAGTGTAAAAGTTATTTTTTCAGATTAGATTGCAATCTTTTTTTAAGCCATGTTTGATAATAATTTTGTTATAAAGAGATTATGTGAAAATTACACCTATTCTTCTGCCGAGCAAGTGTCATGAATTAAAATTATTTAGTATTTTTTTAATTAACGTAATTAAATCTAAACCTGCGTCCCTAGAAATCAGAGTGATGCTGATTTTGTTGCTATTGACACATGATAACCAAATGCTGTTTATTTTACAAGATGGAAAAAATATTGAACACCCTCTGGACATAGAAAGCATTTTCATGTGGGATTACAAGAGCAGAGATGAATTAGGTACACTTAGGATCAATATCTGTTTCTCTTCTTGGCTCAAGATAGGATTTGTCAAAATTTGATAGCAGCTTCTATCGAGTGTCAGCAACAAATCCTTCCAATACAAGTCATATTCTCACACAGAGCAGAAATATTAATGGCATAGAGGTCTTTCTCGTACAATATCTTAGGTTAGAATACTACAGCCCCTACTTTTTCTCTTTCTTTAATGAGCTTTAGTGTGGTGAAGTGACCTTGTAGGAAAAGATATCTAGAAAGGTGATAACCCTTTACAAAGCGTTTGTGATTTGTGATTGACTGTATACACGTTTCACAGTTTTAAAGGTATGATCCAGGGAATATTTTGCCCACTTGTTTGTTAATAGGTCTAGATCAGTGCTGATTGTGAGTTACTTCCCATGATGCTTTACTGTCCTTCTCTGATCTAGATGATGGATAAAAAAATAAATATAATATATATAAAGAAAAGTTGCACTCGCATGTGCATTAATGTTTTAAAAGGATAAAGCAACATTATCATAACATTTGCATGCTCAGCGTCATTCAATCGATATGTTATATGTTTGGTGCATTATATTGGAATCTTACCAAACTGTAGTTTGTACCCTCCTCTACCTCAGGTGTCACTCTACAGAGCCCTAATTAACCATTCTAGGTTAAGAGAGTGGTGTGTCCCAGGTGGATGGATCAGTGGTAGAACTAATGTAGAGAGGGCCCTGGTGCAAAAAAATGTTTGGGCCCCCCGATATCGCATGGCTGGCCCAAAGGTAGATTCCCATCTGTCATATAACTCCTACAATACTTTGACAGTTTGGGTTCTACCATGTTCCCATGCTTGCATCATCCCATTTAGCACTGTGCAGTGCTTATGTGTTTAAATGTGAGCATTTTTTTGTATGGAGTATGTTTGTGTGAATGTAGAGTTGGCGTTTGAATGCAAGTGTGAATTTGTGTGCAGTGTGAGTTTTTGAATGCAGTGGTGTGTTCATATATAATTTTGTTTTTTAATACAGAGGCAGCATGGGAGGAAATGAGGGCTTATCTCTTCCTCCCAAAGACACAGAAGCTATGAGTAACATGGAGGAAAAGGCAGAGAGCAGGGGTCTGGGTCAGGAGAGTCAGTCCCTAAACCTTAGCCTGCTACTGGACTCCAGTGAACCCACCCTCCTGCAAAAGGTATGAAACTGGAGGATGTATGTATGTGTATATATATATATATATACTGTAACAGAGTGTTGGGGATGGTGGTCAGGGGTGTATATCTGGCACACAGACTTTTGCACAGCCACTATCCTGACATGTGGGTAAGCACATGCAGCCCCAGGGAAAGTTAAGTTTAAATGTAGGTTTTTTTCCTCTGTTATTTGGGTCCCTGGGGTGGAGTATTCGGGAGAGCAGGGTGGGCCGATTCTCCACCCACTTTCAGAGTGGTTGTGCATCAGTTCAGCCCAGGTTTTCTAAAGAGTTCTGGCTCACTGCCTAACGAGGTCATTAGCCTCATCTGTAGGGGTTGTGAGCAGCTACATAACTGCAGTTAATGCAGGGTGAAGTGAGGGAGGTGTTTTGTGGAGAAAGAAGGTTTGCTGTTTATTGTATCCTGTTACTTCATAACAGAAAATAAACAGGCCAGAGGCCTTTTTGAAACTGGACTTTGTCTTGACCTGGTTTTCTTACCCTAGAGGGCTGTGCAGTTGCCAAAAGATCCTGGACAAACACGCACAGGAAAGTAAGTTTGTCACAATACATATATCTGTCAATGTGTGTGTCTGTACATGTGTATGTCTGTTTGTCTGTATTTGTATGCCTGTCAATCTGTGTGTCTATATATCTGTCAGTCTATGTGTCAGTGTGTGTGTCTGTGTATCTGTATGAGTGTCAGTGTGTGTGTCTGTTTGTCAGTCTGTATTTGTGTCTGTGTATCTGTATGACTGTCAGTGTGGGTGTCCGCATGTATGTCCTGTGTATCAGTATGCCTGTGTATCTGTATGTCTGTTAGTGGACGCGTCTGTATATCTTTATGTCTGTCAGTGTGTGTATCTGTATGTCTGTCAGTCTGTGTGTCTGTCTGTATCTATATCTATATAACTGTATAATAAAGTTTTAGCTAATCCACTGCTTCCCACTTCTTGTGTCTGCTTATGACATCATATAATGGTAAATGCTCCATACACTTAATAGAACCCATTGGTGTGTGCTTGTTTAACAAAAAAATATATTTTTGCAGTTCTACAGTACAAGTACAAACAAACACCATTAAGTTGTATAAAGAGATGTCACATCACTGATTTCAGCTATTGGAGCTTATAAACACCTCCCCATATTTACAAGGGTTTTGCTCCCTTATGTACCAGCTGCTCCTAACGAACGACGCTATAGTTTAGCCCTCTTATCAGTTATAATTGTGGGGATTGATGGATATATCCATCCACATAACAGGCTACCGCCAATTGCTCTGAGCAAGGGGTCTACCCACAAAGCCGTGAGTAGGCATGTGGGCTAACACATATGCCTCTGGCCTGTTTATTTTCTGTTATGAAGTAACAGGATACAATGGTCGAAAAGGGACCATAGCACAAACATATTCTACCATGTTGGACTCCCCACAACAGAGCCAAGAATTGCAAGCAATGATTAATGCTGCTGTCACAGCTACTATGGAGAAAGTGATGTCAAAGATGTTGTCTCATGTACCACCTGAGATTTTCACCCAAACTATGGGACTGACGCCGCATAATGCGGAGGGTGATATGGGCTCAGAGGCTTCCTCCAAGGATCTCCATTACCTTACTATACTTACTAGAACCGGCCTTACAGTGCCACATACTTGGGCAAAAGGGAAGACATCTATCAATACTAGAACTATGCCCACCGGTGTTATCCTCGGAGGACGATGAAGCTTATCCTCCAAGCCTAGACATCATAATTGAATGGCGGATGGAGGCCTCCGAATCGGATGGAGGGTACGAATGGCAAGACCTACACGCAGATTACAAATATGTAAAGAAATCTTACTCATTCTCTCAGGATATGCAAGGCATAAAGGGCTGTGCCTGGACACATTGCCCCCTTTTGGACCCGAGGTCCATCCGTCAACCCTCAGAGTGGAATCTACCACCTCATCTGGAAAAAAGTAATCCATTTCTGGTTGCGCACACCACTGGATTGGGGTGTACACAGACGCCTTAGGGCCGAATGTCTAAGAACCAAACTACAAAATTGCCTTTTCTCCTGAATTCCATCAGACAGTGGTAATCTTCATGTCCCGGATGGGACACGACCCACGGAAAATGGTCGAAAAGGGACCAAGACAAGATGCTGGATCTACTGGGCCCCATGGCGAAGATTCCATAGTTTGCACACCTGACCCTCTCCCAGGGCACGCAACTGGACCACAACACCATTAAGGAATGGGCCCAACGATGTATATGCAGGCTGGGTAACTACAATGCAGCACTATGCACAGAATAACGCAGAACGACCCTTATCCGAATTGACTCCAAACTTATAAATATGGCCCATAGTGAACTGGGACCATCAGCCTACTATTCGGCGATTCCTTTATCGCGGAACTCAAGAAATTTGTATCCATATTCACTACTCTACAACGAAGCACAGTCCTCAATAAGACAAGTATTTCGATCTCTGCCCGGACGTAGTGTTTTGGGAGGGCTTGTCCGCAGAAAGGCAGTCACCAGCAGATTCTGCAACTCAGGTAGTGATGTCGCGAACCCGAAATTTTCGGTTCGCGAACGGCGAACGCGAACTTCCGCAAATGTTCGCGAACCGGCGAACCGCCCGAAACGCCATTGACTTCAATGGGGAGGCGAATTTTAAAACACACAGGGACTCTTTCTGGCCACAATAGGGATGGAAAAGTTGTTTCAAGGGGACTAACACCTGGACTGTGGCATGCCGGAGGGGGATCCATGGCAAAACTCCCATGGAAAATTACACAGTTGATACAGAGTCTGGTTTTAATCCATAAAGGGCAGAAATCACCTAACATTCCTAAATCACAATGAATATGGATTGACACCTGACATATGACATATTGACACCTTGACATATGGATTGACACCTGTCCTCAGAGCCCCTGATGCACACGGACACAGAGCAGAATAGAGACTGGTCCCCCTACATAGGGTCACTTGGCAGATATGGATTGACACCTGTCCTAAGGATCCCTGATACACATGACACAGAGCAGAATAGGGACTGTTCCCCCTACATCGGGTCACTTGGCAGATATGGATTGACACCTGTCCTAAGGTTCCCTGATACACACTGACACAGAGCAGAATAGGGATTGGTCCCCCTACATCGGGTCACTTGGCAGATATGGATTGACACCTTGTTACAAACTGCTATTTGTAACGGGCCCTTTAAATGGCAAATTGCCCTGTTTCCCTGGGTTGTGGAGAAGCCTCTTTGCCAGCCTCCTCCCATATGACTATGGCCCCTGGGAGATTGTGAAAATGTATGCACTTTTATTTGGTGTGTATGGCCCTTTAAGACTGTCGGTGGGCATATTGGGGCTTATGGACTCTTTATGTGACTGGTGCTGGCCCTTTAAACACCTTTTTTGGGACATCAGGAAATTGGGACACTGCCCTCTTTAAGGCCGTGTCCCCAGACTTGTTGGGGACACTGCCCTTTGGTGCCTGTGTGTCCACCAGACAAACCCACCTTTGTGCCTGCCTGCCTTACCACCGCTGAGTTGGTAAATTATTTCAGCTGCAGAACTAAATTATTAATGATGGGACTTGGAAATTAGATTTTCAACACTGAACCGACCTCCACAGCAAGTGAACTGATATTTGGGCAGGAAAATGTACTTCTTGATAGGTCTGCATACTAAAGGGACCTCCAGCTAACTTTTTAACCCCTGGATGGATTTGGCTGATTTTTGGTTATGTTTATGTTTTAAGTGTGCTGATTCCAAATATGTAATTATGAAGATGGGATGTGTAGTTTTAAAGTTACAGGGTATGGCTAAAAACTGTATTTTTACTGCCTGTGTTTAATTATGTTAATCTCTTCCCAAACGTCATTTCGTTCAAAGTGGAGAGAATGTTAAAAAAATATATTTTTGTTCGGAGTGTGAGAAATGCTTTTCAGCCGCTTCTAATCTTAAGCATCATTTGAGGAGCCATACAGGAGAGAAACCTTATTTGTGGTGTGTTTATTGTTCTGATCAGTTTAATACCTTCCGCGTCTCCTATCAGTGGACGTGTATATGGCAGCCATTTTAGGAACCGTACACCTGGGACCCGAGCAAGGTCACCTCGTTCAACAGGCTTGCAGCGTATCCTCCAGGAAGAAGAGCCTGAACCCCTACCGGCTGCACGTGTCTTACCTGTACATGGAAAGCTGCTGTGGTTCCTTGATGAGCCAGCTGCCCGTGAGTTAACATGTCCCGTGGAGAAGCACTCTGTCCTGTAAAGCCTCACCAAAAAAGGAGTGGTGTGTTTAGTATTGTTCTGATCAGTTTAATACCTTCCGCGTCTCCTATCAGTGGACGTGTACACGGCATTGATTTTTATCTAAGCCGTAAACTTTTACACAGCGAAGTATATTCACTGCCATTGAAAAGGAGTGCATGGCGGTGGTGTGGGCCCTCAAAAAGCTGCAACCTACTTGTATGGACAACCGTTTACCTTACTCACAGATCACATTAAATTTGGGGCACTGTGCGGTCAAGCTAATGTGACACCAGATAGTAGTGGTGTGTTTATTACTATTTT